AGTACCCAGTTTTCTAGGAATTCAAGTTGTCTGTTAATTGAAGTTATTTTGTTTGGAACTTTATCAAGAGTTCACAATTTTGGTAAATCTGTGTCACCAGCTGTAGTGCCATTGTGGTGTTTGAATTGCCAATACAACGCATGTGCTGTGAGTCGGAATCAACTCGACAGCACTGTGTTTCTTTTTTTTAAATCTTGGAATCTCTGAACTTGTAGCTGTCTTACTGTGATGCTACATAAAAGTTCAAGCATCTAACCTCTTTAATGTACAAAATATTCTTTTTCTCCTTTATATTACAATTAGGGCATTGTTAGGTTTTTAAAAATATGCATAATTAGGTTAGAATTTTATTTCAGGAATGTTTTAAGGTGGTGATGTAAATTATTTGTTACAAAAATGAGATAGAGTCTGATAGAGTTGAGAACCACTTTCAGATTATATGCTACTGTGTCTTTATATCTGTAGTTGTTTCGAACATGATAGATACAGTGTTTGTTGAGTTGGTCAGTTTATGGTTCTCAAATTGTTTTCGTGTACATTGTTGCATTTGATTACTACAGCAAGTCTGTAAACTGCCAAGGAAGATAATTGTTCCCATTTTGTAGATGAGAGAATTGAAAGAGATGTTAACTTACCTAGCCATGCTGCTGGAGCTTTGATTAGAACATACAATTTTATTTCTACCAATGTTTAATGCCCTTGTCTATTATACTTCCATACCACACTTTTTTTTTTTTTTTAAATCATAATCTAGATCTATCACATGTAGGAGTTAAGTCTGTATATCCTGCTGGTATTTTTTATACAAGGAGCTTTTCATTATCTTTTAGGTACCTGTGGCCATAGGAACACAACAGAGACAGACAAAAATATGAGAAAGCTGTGTTTAAGAAAGCAAGGTCATTTTCGTTACTGTTCCAAGAAATTTGCAATTAAAACAAACTTTAGGCCAAAAAAATTAGTTTAAGTTTTAGAAATGATAACATCAAATGGTGAGATTGTCGTGAAATGGTTATACTCAACACTTTAATGATAGATTGGTACAGACTGTTTGGAATGTAATATCAGAAAATGAGTTGGACAGCAAAAGTATTTGAACTCTTAAAATTGATTGTAAGGAGATTCCACAGAATAAAAAATTATAGTCAACCCAAACCACTTGCCTAGTATATGCCAGGAGCTGTGCACTGTGCTGGGAATTTCTAAGATAAGAGTATGTTGCTGTTTTCTTGAAGTTCTGGATTTGTGCCAAGAGAGTGTGAGACAAATATGTAATCAGATAACTGTAATATACTGTATTGAGCTGTAGTAGGGGTATGTTTTAAGTTTGGGGGAGAGAGTCAAGAAGTGCACCAGGAAATTAATTCTCTTCGAGAATCGAGGGGAAGAGGCCAGTGTGTCAGAGGAAACACTTGGAGAAATTGAGAGAGACATTTAAGCTACACTTTGAAGGATGGCTAGGACTTTTACCAAGTGGGTAAGATGGGAATCCGGCATGTGTATAATGATGAATAAGGTATGTACAGTCCCTGCCCCTTGGAGCTTTTAGTTTAGAAAGTAAATTTGTGAGTCTGGTAGTTCTCTTGGGCCAAATTGGAGTTGAAGATATGTTTTGTGTGACCTACACAGGGATTTCTCTTTCCTCCATTCTCTGTTTTTCGCGTGGTGTCATGGTTAAGGGCTACAGCTGCTA